TCCGGTGGAAAGGGTGGCCTGCCAAGTACGATAGTTGGATTCCCGCGTAACATAGTACGCGTCAAAATAACGCCTCGAAAAAGAAAAAAGCGGGTGCGGTTTCTGGATGAGGTCCTGGCGGATTCCAGCCGACCGCGGGCCAGTTACACCCCACCCCCCACCAGTGACGCAGACATTCTGAAATTCATCCAGAAGAAAGCCGCCGACCAACGACGAGCCAACGTCAACAGGATGGCGGGGGTCGCCTTTGGTCAACAAGCCCTCCGTTCTTACACGGCGGCCCAACAGAAACAACGCCGACGCGCCAGTCGTCATCCGCCCATGCGCAAGAAGAAACCTCCCAAACCCAAAACCTGCATGACCCTGATGGAACTGGCCCGGGCCTTTCCCAACATTGCCCAGCAAGTGTGTTTTCATCCCAAACAATCGACCTTCAATTCGTTGGTGGGACGAGTCCCTCGCAGCAAACAGAAAGTGGACCAGTGGCTACAAAAGGACCCTGCACCCTCTGGGACGCGCCTCTTGTTCATCATCATGAGTGAGATTAAACGCCTGACGCTCATCAGCGATCCGACCGACGAGTTTCCTAAAAATGCCAACAACAGTTTCAATTTCCGTCTGCCCGAACGTCTCTCCTTACCGGGCGAGGGCTGGCATGCCACGTTATTGTCCCTGACCGTCCCGGATCAAGGACAGAGCAATGCCGTCATCGCCACGGATCCTCATACCAAAGTCGTGACCTTCAGCGTGACGTACTTGACGCGCAAATATATCCTGGGGGAGTATCGACGGGTCAGTTTTCAGACCAAGGAGTACACGGTGGAATTGGAAGATATCATGAGTGCCAAACATCCTGTTACCTCAGGGAACCTGTTTTGGAAACGAACGATGCAAGAAGTACACAACAAGACCATGCGGGCACTGATGCACGAACAAGATACTGCCAAGACCTTTGATGCGGATGAACGACCCCTGGTCAGTGTGAAAAAGAACTGGATGCCTATGATGACGTGGAAAGACGATGCCTTGGTGATGCATGCAGTGCCTAAAGGAGACTTGTTGAACGGCAACAAGACCAAAGTCACGAGCGCCTTTTCCCTGGATCTGGGGGTAGCGGAAAGGTTTGGCTTCATTGAACAACCCCAAGGTGTGGTGGGCTATGTGCTGGGTCCCAATCTCCAATTCACTTGCCCCACCGTGACCTTTAATAGCCAAACACCCCCCAAGAATCCCACCAATCGAACGGACTATTTTTGGGAAGGAGCGCATTATGCCGGGGTGCAACCCTCGGATTTGACCAGTGACGTGATGGATCAAATGTTTGAGGTGAAAAATAAGCGGATTCATCTGTCCAGGATGGTAGAATGGCAGTTCAGCAACCTCAACGCCTCGTTTGAAAAAGTGGTGGGGACCAGCAAGCGCACTGTCATGGTGTATTCGGATCTAGTCGAATCCACCGTGGTGGGGAGTGGCAAATTTCCCCTGTTGCGGGAAGTGCAATTGTTGAGAACCGGCGAGGGTGAAAGTACGATGGAACCCCTGCACCACCAATGGATCAAAGTGCGAGGAAATCAACTAGAGATCTTGGAAGTGGAGATTGCGAGTACCAGTGGACCCCTGGCCATCTTACCCCCTGGCAAAACCCTGGTGACCATCGGTCTCAAACAGCTATAAAAAGCCACCCCACGTGTTCTGGAGGGTCAAAAAGCACCTCGACGCGAACCGACAATGCGCGGAGGAAGTTTAACGCGGTACCACACGCCCGTGCTCACCCAGCAAGAGGGCAAGGGTTTGGCCGAAGATTTGATCAAACTGGCGGGACCCCTGATCGTGCAGCAAGCTCAAGCGGGACTGCAAGATATTCAACGAGGAAAGAGTGCGGCGGACACGTGGGCCGATCGAAGTGCGCAGCTCAGCCGCGGATTGAAACGCAAAGTCCCCGCCATGGCCTGGACGGTAGGCAAACACAAGGCCAAACGGACCGCCCAAAATACCTATAAAAGAGCCACGCAGCGCGTACGGGACATCTTTGGACTGTGAAAATGGTACGTGTGGGAGGCTTTCTCAAAACGCAAAATCGTATTCGACGGCAACGCGCCCGTGGACGGTTCATTTCGCCGTATCAAGTGGGGGGCACGATTTTTGGCAAGTCGACCATGGCGCGCTATCCCCTGATGTACACGTCCTCCCGCCTGTTGGAGCCCTGGCGGTTGGATCAACGCCAACGTCGCAAGATGAAAGGGGGAACGATTTTTGGCAAGTCCACCCGCATGCATAATAATCCTTTGAGGTTCCCGTCTGCGTACCCGGTGGACCCCAACCAATGGGCGAGGACCATGGCTCGACGCCGACACGGTATGAAAGGGGGCACGATTTTTGGCATGGGGGATCCCAGGAAGGTTTTGTGGGCCAACCAAGCAAAGGCGAGGAGGCAACGTAGGCGAAAGGGTATAAAAAGGGGACGACGTTGAACCATCGAAGACAGTCCGCATCATGTCGCTCAGTCTGTTTGACGTGCCCGATGTGGATTATCGGTACGAAGCCTCTCGGGAGGTGGAGTTTCAACCCGCCTTGACGGGCATCCAGCCCATCACCTTCTCCATTCCAGGCTCAGACGATTATTACGATCCCAATTCCCTCCGATTCAAAGTCAAAGTGCGCCTGACGGATCCAGCAGCTGGGTATGCAGGATTGAAAGCCAATTTGGCCAACTCCGATGCCAACAATACCAGAAACACCTACTGCGTCAACAATTTCGGTCACACCATCTTTCGAGATATCACCCTGAGCATGAATGGGGTCCTCATGACTGAACAGAGCAACACCTACCATTACAGAGCCTACCTAGAAACCCTCCTGAATTACAGCCGAGACGAAGGAGCCACCAAGCTAGCCCTGCAAGGATGGGTCAATCAGCTCAATGTGATTGAAGAAATGGGAGCCACAGGAGCCAATTCTGGTGTGCCCACCAATGCGAATTGGAGTGGGAATACAGACTTGCGAGCCTTGACCAGCCGGTTGCTAGACCAGAATTGGCACACCTTCATCATTCTTCCCCATTTGCCACCCCTCAAGACAGGCAAATTGTTGGTCCCCAATGTCCAGATGGACTTTGAACTCTTCCTCAACCCCAACACCGTCTACCTGATGGGCACCCCTAACAAAGGGACCTTGAATGACAAGAAATTTCCAGCCATCCACAGTGAAGACATCAAAGTCACCTTGTTGATGAGAAAAGTGACCCTGACTGCCAGCGTCTATGTCAGACTGCAGAAAGAAAGACAGCTGGGCAAACAGATTGCCCGCTACCCAGTCGTGCGGAGCGAAATTCGCACGTTTTCCTTCGATGGACGAACCACCCAGTGGGAACAAGACAATGTGTTTGTGGGTCGATTTCCTGACAGAGTGATTGTCGGGTTATTGCATTCCAATACCTTCAATGGAGACCTACAAAGATACCCCTTCGCCTTTGAAAAGTTTGGCGTCACCCAAATACGACAGACCTTGAATGGAGAAGAATACCCTTACAGAACCCTGCAATTGACTGGAGGAGAAGCCTATGAAGATCTGCTGGGCTCCGATCGATTTCTACAAGCCATGGGTGCCTATGATGAACACAAGATTCCCATGCTGCCGCCTAGTGATTGGGGACAAGGCAAGAACTGCACGTTGTTCATGTTCAACAATGTGCCCAGTGGGAAAGCAGATGACCCCCAGTATCGCAACCTCCGTCAATCGGGCAATGTGCGACTGATCATTGATTTTGCTGCCGCGGTCAATCACAACATCACCGTGTTGGTATGGAGCGAGTATGAAAACATGTTTGAGATCAATCATCTGGGAGGTATAAAGTACAACATCAACGGCTGATGTAGCCTCTGAAGTCAGAAGACACCGGTCATGGAGTTTGTGGCGCTCAGTGATACTGTGTTACGGACCTTGGCCCTGGAGGATCCCGAATTACGACGCGTGTTTCACGGGGTGTACCCTGCCGACCAGCTACCCCGATCACCCCCCAGGAGTGTCCGTCAAGCGTACATTGTCAACACCGATCCTGCGGGAGAACCGGGACAGCATTGGTTGGGCTTGTGGACGGAACAGAACAAGTGCCAGGTCTTTGACAGTTATGGTCTACCCCTGCACGTGTACACCAACCCGGAGTTGCACCAGTGGTGGGGTCAATGGAAGTACCTGACTCGCAGTGACATGACCCTGCAAGCCATGGATAGTCAGACCTGTGGCCATTATGCTTTATTTTTCTTGAAAGCCCGAGCGCAAGGACGGTCGTATCAAGAATTTTTGAGTCAATGGAGTTGCGACAATTTAGTGTTGAATGATCATAAAGTGGCCGACCAGCTGAAATGTGTAATCAAACAAGAATTACAAGATGAAGTCGATGCCCGACCCGACGGGCAAAAGAATGTGAGCCGCCAGGCCTTTATGCTTTGTCATCAGTGTAATCATTAAGTCCAATAAAAAACCATAAAAACGACACGTTCTGTGCATGAGAGGTCATTGTGTCATCATGATTACTCGAGGCGATGTGCAGCGCGTAGTGGATGCGTTCCTATTAGAAGAAACCGTGTATTGGTGGGTACACCCGATCGAGCGGGTCAACACAGTCCAAGGCATCGATGCGTGGGATGGGTATCATTGGTTAGTGGCCCGACAATTGGCGCAAGACCAAGACTGGGTCTCCCTCAAGCACTACATGGACACGATGGGTGAAACGTATTTAAGAGAGACCATGGAAGGTCTGATTCAGTCCGAGTCCCCACGATTATACCGCGAATATTGGACGGTATGCCCAGTCGCACACAACGACGACAGCGCCCCTCTTCCCGACAACCCCGCTTTCGCCAAAACGGGCGGGGCATCATGAGTGTGTTGGCCAAATCGGCCAAAATCGCTTATAAATTGGGACGCAGCAAACGGTATAAACGCATGGGTGCCAAAGGGGCCACGGGTCATTATCGACGTCACCCTCGACCGTGGGAATCATGATCCGACAACCCAGTAGTGTGATCATCGCTGGCCCGTCGGGCAGTGGCAAGAGCGAATTGGTGGAACAATGGTTACGGTACATCAACGTCTTTCAAGTCAAACCCAACAAGATCGTCTATGCCTATGATCGCTGGCAACCCCGATTCGACGGTATGCAAAAAAAGGATGGGATTCAGTTTCATCGCGGGTTACCGGACCCCCGTCATTTGACCCAATGGTTTGGTCGGACGCGCGGAGGCGTGTTGGTCTTGGATGATCTGATGGAAGAAGGGGGACAAGACAAACGCGTGTTGGATTTGTTCACCAAAGATTCTCATCATCGCAACATCACTGTGCTGTATTTGACGCAAGATTTATTCCCGCCTGGCAAATTTTCCAAGACCATCAATCGCAACGCGCATTACATCGTGGCGTTCAAAAACCCCCGGGATCAAACGGGCATACGGACCATTTTACTGCAAGCCTTTCCTGACCGGTGGGGTCAAGTCTTGCGCCTATTTAAACGCATCACGTCCCGCCCCTTTGGCTATTTGAAGTTGGATGTGCATCCTGCGTCGGATGATTGCTACCGCCTGTGGAGGGAGTCATTTAACGCCCCGAGAAGGCAAGGCGCAAGTCCACACCCTGCCCGTGGATGTCCCTGCCGTTCGACAACGAACTGCAACGAGAACTCGCCAGGGTCCGCCGGCAAAGAGAAGGCGGACTACATACTGACTTAGCGGCCCGCATGGACACTCCGACCCTCTCGCCCGCCGGCGTGGGCTCCCCCACGACGCCCCCTCCCCTCCAGGACCTCAGCAGCATGACGGACATAGTGACCGAATTGACCCGCCCGGTGGATCGAGCCCAATTGGATCAAGAGATTGAGACTTTCAATTTGACCTACCCGGTCAATGTGGACGATGCCTTGAATGCGTTTACGTTACCGCCCGTGGCTGGCACTGGCACCGCCCCGGGCACCACCCAACCCGTCACCACTACCACCCAAACACGACCTGTCACGTCGACCCTAACACGCCCTACGACCACCACCACGACCAGCCGACCGCGACCCGTCACCTCCACCCGAACACGCCCCGTCACCACCGCCACGACCACCACCGCTCCCTCGCGCCCCCTCACCGCTCGCCGCAGCGCTGGGGCAGGGACTAGGACCACCACCTCGACGGTGACGACCCCCACTGGACGCTCCACCATCGCCGCCAAACAACCACGACGACGTCCCCGGGTGCCCTCCCCTCCGTCACCCGATTCTTCCCCTCCTCCGTCGGAGGACGATGACGAGGATGACGACGACGAGGATCGACGGCGGGGATTAAGGCGACGGTTGGATTTGCTCAATGAAGATGCTCAACAACGTGCTCGGGGCAGACGTATTCGCAACATCACGCACACCAATACAGTGACCACGGACTACGAAGATGGGGGAGGGCGACCTTCCGTGCGCTGCACGTCCACCCGAACCTCCAGCCCAAGTCCACCACGGCCACCACGCCGAGGACGCGGCCGTGGCCGTGGCCGAGCACGCGGACGGGGTCGACGCCCGTGAACACAAAAAAGATATAAAAACAGCTGCCTCTCTTCCACCGTCCCAAATACCATGTGTGGCCGATGTCGAAACGCGATGGCCCCTAGGCGCAAACACAAACGCACCACGACCCGACGACAACCACGTCGACGTAGGATGAAGGGTGGGACGGCGCCGTTCATCGTGGATTTCAAGAAAGGCTTTCAGTTGTTGACGGACAAGGATATGTGGAAGATTCCTTCCAAAGCCGAAGTAAAGGCCGACAAACAACGGGTGGCCGACTATAAACGCCAGTATCGCGCTAGTGGCAGCAAGGACTCATACGTGACTTGGGCGAAAAAGAAGGGGTATGTCAAAAGAGCTGGGTGCAGCTTGATGTGAATGTATAAAAGAGGCTCGCGGTGTTCAGCTCTCAAAAGGATTCGTCATGGGATGCAAACGCAAACGCACCACGACTCGACGTCGACCACCCCCCAAACGACCACGGCGTGTGACCTACAGTCAAGTGGGGGTGTCTCGCCGGGTCTCACTGTGGGGATTGGCAAAGCCGGTTATGGGATCACCAAAGCCATAGGAGAGCATCAACAAAAGCGAGCCAAGAAAATATCAGATAAACGCTGGCGTGATTATCTTTCAGGCAAACGGAAATCCTATGGAGGTGAATCGTTTAATTGTTCCCTTATGTAAAAAACGTATAAAAAGACCTGGGTGGACTTGGACAAGAGTTAGTTGGAAGATGGTCCGTTGACCCAATGGACGCCGACATCGTTATGTCCCCCGAATACGACGCCGTCGACGTGGATTGCGACGCGGACGCGTGCTCCCCATGTTGGCAGTGGCTCTGTCGCCTTAGGCGTTCAAGAAGAAGAAACGGCGCGTCTACGCTAAAGTGACCAAGAAAAGAAAAGCCGTCACGTTTGCTTTGGACTGGGACGAACAGTATGAAGCGGTCCTGTGTTCACGGTGTCGAGATCACATGCAAACGCATTATCATGGCGAATTGTGTGGCAGGTGTGGAGCCATTTTTACCATAAATAGACCTTGGTCGTTGCCTGAACTCAAGATTCATCATGGAGTGGCGCATGGAACGTCAAGCCCCGTTCTTGAAAAGTGTCTTACAAGAAGGCAATCAACACAAACGACAAGAATTGTTGCGGATGGCGAATGCGGATCAGATCAATGCTATCAGTGAATTGGTGATGAACACCCTCCGTGGCACGGTGCCCCGTTCCCGACACACCATTACGTTGCTCAAACCCCACGCAAAGAGCTTACGCTCCATGGCCAAACCCGCCCATTCCGTCAAACGACGACGCGCCATCATGATGGCTCAAAAAGGGGGCGCCCTCTGGCCTGAACTCTACCGATGTTATAAACGTTGCATGCGCTAGACAAGAAACCTCAGTTGCACCATGGAACCCGAGATGGTGAGCACCACGGTGGACAACGCCCCTGCTTTTTTACAATTACGAGACAAGTACAAACAAGAATTGGTGGAAGATACCCGCTTGACCAAAGCCGCCGATTTAGCGGCCAAACAACATGTGCTCCTGACCAGCGATGCCCCCGATGCTTGGAAACGGCCTCAACTCAAAGCCGTGAGCCGTCAATTACGCCATTGGACCAAAAAAGTTCGCCAACCGTTTGGGGCCCCGACCGGTGGTGTGAGCGCGACAGGGGCCACGACCCCGGGCGACGATGATTTTGAGGCGGGCCCGATGCAGGCGTGGTTCACGCAATTGGTCAAGGCGACCCAGGGTATAAAACAAGGGCCTACGCCTGTAGGACCCAGAAAACCGCCTGTCCCGCTCAAACCGAACATCACTCCCAGTGCTAAAAAGAAACTCAAGTTTACGCCCCAGGTGAGCAGCGCCGAGTTGGCGCACGAGTTGCCCTTTTCAGAAGAAGCTGGAACAGAGCCTTGGGATACCCCCAGTGAACGTGTGGACTCCATCAAAAAAGCGGTCAAGCGCGGGATTCGCAAAAAAGCCGCTGGTGTCGCCAAAAAGAAAGCCGCAGGTCTGGCCAAGAAAGCCTTGGAGTGGAAAACGTGGACAACCCCGTGATGGGACGGACTCAGAGACGCCGTGCTGCGCCCCGTTCCCGACGTCGACGACGATCGCAACGTGGAGGCAAGTTATTCGATGTGCAAAACCTCCTCAACAAGACGGGCATTGAATTTTATTGGCCCGGCTATCAGTACATGGGACCCGGCACCCATTTGAAAAAACAATTGGCCCGTGGGGATCCCGGCATCAACCGGTTGGACAGGATTACCAAAGCCCATGACATCGACTATGATAAAGCCAAGGACTTGAAAGATAAATGGGAGGCTGATCGCAAGGTGATTGCCAAGATTGATAAACTCCCTGGCCGCAAAAGCCTAACGGAACGCATTGTTAAACGCATTATGAAAACCAAACTCCGATTGGGCATGTAAACCCCTTAGTCATAAAAAAGACAACCTTGTTCAATGGCATAATACACATGTTTTAATAAACTCATTTTTGTTCTTACAAGTATGAGTCCATTTGTTGCAACGCATCGGCACGAATCGTTTGCACTGTGTCCTCCTCAGGCTCGGACTCGGCCCAGTCTAAGGGCAACCACGGTAGGGGAAAGGGACGGTCCAATTGCTCGTCCAACCATTGCCATTCTCGACGCCGAATCGATTCGACACGCTTCTCGTATCTCTGACTCTGCAGGGCTTTCCACCCCTCGATACCCAAAGCTCGTTTTTTCTCGGCCTGTATCTCTCGCCGCCGCGCATTCAATCGATGTTTGTAGGCCTCGTAGGTCCCCTTCTCCTTCATTTTCTGCATCCAATTTCTTTGACACTGGGCGTTTTTACGTTTGACCTCGTTCCGCTGCTCCTCCGACATGGTAGCGTCGCATGCCCTCTTGGGTCTTTTTGGCCTTGAAGGCCTCGTATTCCCCATTCGCTCTCATACGGGCCATGCGCTCGTGGTAGCGTCGACGGTGAACGGCCTTCACGTCCTCCACCCCGTTCAAGGCGGCATATTTCCGCTGCCGATACAGTTTTTGATTTTTTTGAGGCTCCCCTCATTCAGAAAGCTAGAACCATTGGGCGTCTGGGAATTAAAAAACGCAACGAACTATATTCATTATGTAATCCTGACCATGTACATCTGTGACTTCCGTTTACTATTTTACAGTAGTATATATTCTGTATATTCTTCATGTTTTTCCCAAATAAACCTGATGAAGACTGGTATTGGCCAGTCGAAAAATTGTATACCTTAGCCTTTTTCACATTGTTTGATCAGTCTTTGCAGAAGTCTTTTTGACTTTGATTCTATGAAAGAAATTTTCAGCGTCAATTCCGAGCGCGCGAATGGCAAAAGACAGCAAAAGAAAATGCTGTTGTAAAAAAATTCGATGAACTGCGCCGAGTCAAAGGAGGCGGGACCGGAGGCGGGTGTGGGGCGTGGTAAATTAGTGTCCTAC